TCCTCAGCCACTGCTCACCAAGAAGGCGCTCTATCATCCTACCCTCACCAAGGTGCCACCACTCATCTTCCCCAAGGAGACTATCCACTTGTAGTTTATGAAGGAGGGCATATGGAAGAAGGAATTCAGGAAGAAGAAGAATCAGATGCTCCAAGCTACAACAGTGAGGAGTACCACTTCCAGCCCCATGATGTCTCACACCAAGGAGGTCCCTTGAAGAAGGTCTATGAACACATCAACCTCTTGCAAATATGGAACAAATGGCAAGATAAAACCATCAAGAAGTTGGTGAAGGGAATGAAGAGCATAAAAGCTCAAATCAAGGACCTAAAGAGGAAGTCTAGTGGAGCCTCTAGTTCTGCTCATCAACAAGAGCAAGAAGCTGGAAGCCAAGGAGTGGCTAGAGCTCCTAGTAGAAGGTGCTCTTTTGCTGGCTATGAGGATGTGAGAGCTTGGGTACCACCAAGAGCATCTTGTCAAGAAGCGCGAAGGAGGTGGAGACACACAAGAAGGGAGAGGCGAACCAGGAGCCACAATATTGACCCCATGGAGGACATTTCAGGCGCCTCCCACTACTCACACACAACCTTCTAAGGTACCAAAAAACTCCTCACTTATAAATACCATTGCATTTTTTTTTTTAGTTCTTGTAATATATTTCTGTTGCTTCTCTCTCTCACTCTTTTACTATACAAATGATTGTGTAATTTAAGTGTGGGGAGGGAATTGGGATTTGACTTTGTGTTCTTTTCTTAGTTTTTCATTTTATTCATCTTTCAGTCTCATGCATTCATCTAAGTGCATTAAAAAACCAAAACAAAAAATTGAAAAATTGAAAAAATTGAAAACTTTGCATCTTTTGCAAACCAAAAAAAAAAACATATAGTTGCATTCATTTGCTTAGGATTGAGTCTAGTATTTTTCATATAGGTTGCATTGCATTTGCATAGGGCATGATGATGATAATTCTTTGTAAAGTGGTAAGTGTTTAGGACTGATTTAAATGTCTAAGTGGTTAAATGTTTGATGCATCATAAGAAGTTAGAAACTAAGGCTATCCATGCTCCTGAATGCTAAATTTGATCCTTTGGTCTCAGGCTGAAATCGCTTGTTCTTTGAAAATCATCTCTACTTATTAGAACCATTAATTTGAATTGTTAATTATCATGTTTTTGCAATGAAAAGTGGTTTCATGGATTATATATATACATATTTGGACTTTCTTTCTTTCTTTTTACCTCTCTTGCTAGTCCAAATAGCTGATCCTCATCATTAAGGGACATTTACCACACCTTAACCCTACTTTCCTTTCAAACCTAAACACTATCTTTTGTGTGTGAGGCCTATTTTTGAATGAACTAAGCATAAAGTGTTAGGTTGGCACTACAAGGATTGGTTACTATGTAGAACTAGCTCTTCACTTTGAGTTAAACATAGGTTTAGGATGGTAGTTATAGGTCTGGGCGGATTTGAGTGTTATAATGATCTAAAAAGAGAGAGTGAGAGAAGAAAGAAAGTAAAGGGAAAAGGGAATGAGAAAGAGGAAGCAAGCAAAAAGACTCAGCATGTGTGGAACAAAATAAGCTCAAAAAGGGTGGCCATTATGAAGATGGAGTCTCAGCAACAACAACAAAGAAGACACCAAAGCCTAATACATCGAAATGATGAATAAAAGGAGACTTCCCAATACAAAAAGAAGGCGCCCACAACAAAGGAGCAAAAAGAAGACCACAACATGGTGAGATCAAAGAAGAAGCTTCCCTCAAAAATGGTAAAGTGTGGAGAGTGAGAGAGTGCTGAAAAAAGGGTAGTTAGGATTAGGTTTGATTTGGGTTAAAAGTTTTGGGGTTTATAACATTCTTATGCATTGGGTAGATAGTAATCTGTCCTTGTATGCATAAGTTGTGCTTCACTTTTAGCATTACGCCTAAGTTCTTTCCTTTTTGAGAGAAAACCTTGCATGTAAACCCATATTTTGATGAGATCATTTTTATCTCATGAATTTAACCTTTAGCCAAATGATCCCACTTGATTTGCTTAAACATGATTCACTTGGTTACAAAGTTTAAATGAATGTTAAAGAGATTGATTGATTTGAGCATTTAACTAAGTTGAGCTAGAGATCATTTTGAAACTGGATAAGCATTGCTAGGTTTTTTGAAGTATAACTGATTGTGTTTTGCATCCTACACTTAGAAACTTAGACATTGATTTCACTTCTTTACCTTAGCATTTTTGGATTTGAGTGCCCACCTTCAAACCTCACTTGCTCCTTGTCTTAGTTTGTTTGTTTGAGGACAAGCAAAAGGCAAGTGTGGGGGTGTTGATATCTCTATTATTTATACCATTTTAGCTTGAATTCGCCACTAGTTTTAGTTTTTAAATATGCATATTTTGCTTCTTCTTGTCCTATTTGCATTCATTTAGGAGTTAGTGTAGTTTTAGGAGTTGCATTGCATTTTGCATGCATTTGGAGTTTTATTCAGGTACTAGAAGGATTTTTGAGACCAAGTGGTGCAATGGGTGTGAGCTGAGAATGGAGCAAGGAGATGTACAAGGTCGGATGGGCCAATATCGATGACGATATCGATGTGATCTGATCGATATGGAGCATATCAAAGTGAATAACGACCACTTCAAGTCGATACAGCAAGAGCATGGTGTAAAGGCAGCATGTCGGCTAAGGAGGACCTCGATACATCAAACGGGAGCCCATACCAAGCAGTGTATTGACATCCCAGAGTGATACACAAAGACGGGACAATACTGAGGTACCATATTGACGTGTATGCCTGATAAACCTTAACTAAAGGGCAATTGTATCAACTTCACACAAAGAGAGTCAAGCTGATACATTCTTGAAGTCTTGCATATCGACTAGGCCAAGTCGATACAACCCACAAGAAGACTTGATATCAATGTGTGTATCGATGTACAAGGCTGATATGGTCCATCTGAGTCAGCCTATTTTCGGTTTAGTCTTGGTTTATTAGGGATTTCTAAGCTCCCCTATAAATACTAAAGTCCTAAAATGATTAGGCAACTTAGATCTTATTAATTTTCTTCTGTTCTAGCTTTAAAAACCTTTCCTCTTTCAGTTTTGCTTTGTAAGAACTAGTTTGATTTAGTAAAATTCTGTATTTGCCTTTATATCTATTCTTGCTTATTCTACTTCCTAATCATACTTAACCATTATTTCTCTTTAGAATCTGTGGTTTTGATTATGGCTAGTGAGTAATGTTATTTAGTGTTTGAGATGACATAGATTAGAGGAGTTTTAGTGATTGTATAGTTACTTCAACTCCAGTCCCCACACACACATGTATATATTGATTAGAAGACTCCACAATTGTTATATTCCTAACTTGTGTTCTCCACAACAGCCAATACCATCACTCTACCCAACTGCATCAGCTCAAAATGAATTCTCAAAACCCAACCCTTGACAAATTCGACTAGCTCTACCCCTTCCCGCATGAGTCTCAAATAAAGCAACATCAGTGTTGAACTTCTTCAAAATGTAGCGGATTGATCACCTGAAATTGGGTTTATTCACCCCCGGCAATTCCAGAAAATACAATTCATTGGAATCTTATAATGCAGAACCAATTGAATTACATGGGCTCGCTGTTATGCGACTACCAAGCTCATCCCCTCCTTCGACAAGCTCGTCTGCATAACATTATCCTCTTGTCTACCATCTCCGCTTGGTTATCAAGAGGGCTCTCCAGATGTTCACCACGCAACTGCAACAGCATCTCGAAACTCTTTACATTCTCCGTTTCACTAGCAAACATGCAGCCTGGTCTCCCAGAGCTCTCTCTCTCCACCCGAAGATGCTTTCCCCACTCTGACAAGTTTATTTATTTTTTTATCGGCCCCTTCAAGGGCCTATTTGAGGCTTGCTTAGATTTTACACGATTCCCTTGCATAGATTTTCCACTACCAGTCCATTTTTCCGTAGGCCCTTTTTTCGCTCATTCTTATCTTTCTCCATCCCTTCAAAGGATATACCTCCCTTTCCGTGGGCAAAACTCTTTCCTTATTTTCTGTTCTCCCTAATATCCTCGTTCTCTTTATTTTCATCCGATGAATCTACACATTTTCTTGATTCTGTTAAATTCATATCCACCTCCAAATTTCCAAATCTGTTCCATATCACAATATTCTCCATATCCTTGTTTCGTGGGATCTCTAAGAGATTGCAATCTGACTTACCACTGGTTCCCCTACCGCAAAAGCAACTAGTCTTGGCGATGTCGCCATCCCCCGATACAACCCCCACACTAGAGTAAAACCTCTCTCCTGTTGAGTAAGATCTTGCTGACACTCCATCTTGCTTTGTGCCATCGCAACCACCACTTTCTTCTGGACTAACACTCTCTCCGAGAGCACTTTTGGACATGGATGGACCAAATGTTCATACATTCCGCATGTAGAACATATATTTGCGAAACCTTCATACGACACAAATTACTTTTCTTAGTTCATTAATTAACACTGTTTCTTTCAGCGGCTTTGCGAAATTTACTTTCATAAATTAATCTACACCAAAATACTTTTCTTAGTTCATTAAAACCTCTCTCATTGATTTTTTCAAAATTTAGAATCGTCGAATCTACACGGATTGACTTCCCCAAATCCCTCACTATTCTCATGAGAATGGATTTGTGGTGAAAAATAACTGCAATATTTATCGATCTAATCCACACTGGAGTTATAACGATCTTTTCCATCGACGAATTAAACTCTGGTGAGTGGTGACTATGCTTGTACTATATTTATAAATTAATTTATGTCAACCAAATTAAAACCAAACTAATCTAAACTAAACTATATTTAAACTAAAGCGAACACAAACCAAACCAAATTAACTTTGGTTAAGCTTAGTTTAAATTTTTTTAGAACCCAATCAACCGAGCCGAACGATATCCAAAATTAAACCCAAATGTTCACACGTAGCATAAACCAATCGGCATATATTCCGGTTCACCAGAAAACCGATCTGACCCAACCCAAAATATTCGGTTTACTCTGGTAGTTTTGGGCCGGAGACCGACTCTGCAACTGGCAGGGGTGAGTATCGGCGGCATAAGCACGAAATCGGCAGGTTTTTCAATCTTCTGCACCAAAATCTTCCCAAAACCCTAAATCCTTTTTAACGATTCCACTTCAACCTTCGATCATCATCACATCAATGTCAGTTAGCGATATCCCTCCGTCGTCCACATCCGCTGCATCACCACTAGGCTCCTCCGTAATTCCGATTGTAAACAAGCTCCAGGACATATTCGCTCAGCTCGGAAGCCAATCCACGATCGAGCTTCCACAAGTCGCTGTCGTCGGAAGTCAAAGCAGCGGTAAATCAAGCGTCCTCGAAGCACTCGTCGGCCGTGATTTTCTCCCACGCGGGAATGATATCTGCACGCGCCGTCCACTTCTTCTCCAGCTTCTTCAGACGAAGTCAAGCTCCGATGGTGGATCCGATGAAGAGTGGGGAGAGTTTCGTCACCTCAAGAACAAACGTTTCTACGATTTCTCTGAGATACGCCGCGAGATTGAGGTTGTTTTTGTTTTTCTGTCTCTTGAAAGTTCGTTTTAGCGCTGTTAAACCTCCATGATTCGTCTAATGTTATTAGTTACAATGTTTTCTAGGCTGAGACTAATAAGGTAGTAGGAGAGAACAAAGGTGTATCGGATCAACAGATTTGTCTCAAGATATTTTCCCCGAATGTTTTGGATATCACTCTTGTGGATCTTCCTGGTATCACCAAAGTTCCCGTGGGTGATCAGCCAACGGATATCGAAGCACGTATAAGAACGATGATCTTGTCTTACATTAAGAACCCTAGCTGCTTGATACTAGCTGTTACACCTGCTAATTCGGATTTAGCGAACTCAGATGCCTTGCAAATCGCAGGAAACGCTGATCCTGATGGTAAATTTTTGGTAGCAATTCAGTTTTGAATGTATCTTTTTTTATGGAAGACAGAGTATTAACCTTTGCTTTGCATATAAATTTTGTTGTCCTCAGGTCATAGAACCATAGGTGTAATCACAAAGGTACGTTTCTCTCCTTAGACATCTGTTCAAAGTTTAGATTCAGTAGAAAATTTAGATTTAATGGCAAACTACTAACCTCATGGCTGCTCTGTTTTCTCTCTGATTCAGTTGGATATTATGGACAGAGGTACTGATGCTAGGAATCACCTTCTTGGAAAAACAATTCCTCTTCGACTTGGATACGTAGGAGTTGTAAACCGTAGTCAGGAGGTAAAACCTGGTTACTTACGCTGCATAAGGTTGCTGTTAAATCATAATGAGCCAAGGCCATTTACTTCTACATTTGTGCTTAGGTGTCTTATATCTTGCTATCATATATTTGGGTCGACTCCTCTTTTCCCTTCTATATTCTATAATTCTACCTATAATATATACTTTTCTCATCATACTAAACCATTCTACATTCTATTTTCGGTTTGCTTTGTCTCTATGGCCACTGCCCTTTATGCAGTTCAAGAATTTATTTGGGTGTTGATTTTCCGTAACAGGATATTTTGCTGAACCGCAGCATCAAGGATGCTCTTATTGCAGAGGAAAAGTTCTTTCTTAGCCGTCCAGTAAGACCCATTATTCTCTCTATTTGCTTTCTTAGAGTGTTCCTTTGGCTGTCCAGCTTAGATCTGCTTTTTTGTTTGTTTCTTTTTCTAACAAAATAGGCTTACAGTGGTCTCACTGATCGTTTGGGTATCCCTCAATTGGCAAAAAAATTAAATCAGGTAATTATCTGCACTCTTGGGATTTCCTGTTGTCTTTGTTACCATCATCTTGTTATGCAGTAAAGACACGAGTTCCCTAAGGGAGATCCTATCTGGACTGAGAGAATAATTGGCTTTAATATTCACGTTTCCTAGCTATACATAGTCTGATCGTGCCCATTTAATTCTAGCAGGAGCTAGGGATTTTGTAGGATATTCTTTTGCTCCCCACTGTATATATTTGAAAAGAGAAACAGTAACATCTGCTTATTATGGTTGTTGATTCATATATTGGATTCATTTTCTGTGGATTGATTAGTCCTTTTTTTCTAAAGATGCCAATATATAGGTTTCGTAACTGGCAGTATTAGTTGTAAGATTAGATACTCACTATAAGCTTGTTCCTTTTTTTAATACTTGCAGATCCTTGTCCAACACATCAAGGCACTGCTTCCTAATCTGAAGTCACGTATAAGCAATGCATTGTTTGCTACAGCAAAAGAGTATGAGAGCTATGGGGATATAACAGAGTCCAGGGTATGTGGTTTTCGGCCAGTTTTAGGCTAGCTTTAAATATCCAAATCCATTCCCAATGATGACGTTTCTATTTGCTTTGCTTTTGCATTGTATGGTTTCTTTGCTCAGCCTTCATTTTGAATAGAATTTCGCTCATGTATGTGTTCGTATTTCCTGACATTCGTCATTCGTGGGAGCGTTTTCTATTTATTTTGACTAGAACAAACTAATCAATAATTTATAGAGTTAGTATTTGATGATGACGAGATGTTAAGATTAGTAGGAAAGATTTCTGACAATAAATGGCTAGTCAATATTTTTTTAAATATCTAGACATGCTTTCTATTTCGTATCCATATAAAACATGCTTGACTCAGTATGATGTCATTTCATATATATATATATATATATATATATAAGTTTATCATTGTGACTGTTTAACTTACAGCTTTCTCTGCATCTGTATTGTTTCGAAATTCATAGGCTGGTCAAGGAGCTCTTCTTCTCAATTTTCTAACAAAATACTGTGAAGGTAAAATCTGAAGATGATTCTTTCGGTTTAGAAGACGGGTGTATGTTTTAGGTCGGTATTGGTTCTAATGTTTTAACTTTTCGTAACAGCATACTCCTCAACCCTGGAAGGGAAAAGTAAAGAAATGTCTACATCTGAGCTCTCGGGTGGAGCAAGAATTCATTATATCTTCCAATCAGTCTTTGTTAAGAGCTTGGAGGTTTGGTTTTACATCTTTACACAATTTTCCCTCGATCTTCACTCAATTTAATTTGTCTTTTGATTTGTTATTCCAGGCATGTGCGTAAGCTATTTCTTAGTTAGGTGTTTCTCTTTTTAATTTAATTTGAAATATCTCTTGTGGTCTATAATTGAAGCTCATTTTGTTGATATTTATATAACAACTATACATGTATGAGTGACTTTCTATATATCAGTTATGTGTAGTTATCTTAGTTTTAGTGTGGTTAATGGCAAGGAAAGTAGACAGTTCGTTTCAGGTTTTGAGTTTTTGAAAGTGTGGCATGTTTGGAGTTCGTATATGAATAAAATAGCCGGTCTTTAGATTCAGTTCCCTGCACCTGTACCTTTCAAGCATCTGCTCTTTAATCGCTTGAAATCAGTCTGTACCTTTCAAGCATTGTTCAACCTACTGATTTTGGCAGTGCTACTTGTTTGTGGGTTTTGGAATTTAAACTTACTAGTTTCCTTCACTTTGCCTCTGAAGGAGGTTGATCCATGCAAAAACTTAACAAATGATGATATTCGGACTGCAATTCAGAATGCAACTGGTCCCAGATCTGCATTATTTGTTCCAGATGTAGGTTTAAATCCCTAACCATGTGTGAACTTCTTTCTGCTTATCAGTACATTCCTCATACTTAATTTGCTTAAGTTTTCGACTTTTCCAGTAACTCTGATTACTATCTACTGCTTTCATTCTTTTCTGCATAGGTTCCATTTGAAGTTCTTGTCAGGAGGCAGATATCTCGTTTATTAGATCCCAGCCTTCAGTGCGCTAGGTTCATTTTCGATGAGCTAATAAAGGTGTGATTTATTCTTTGTCTCCTCTTCAGAAATGCTTACCATTGAATTACTTGATCATGAATTTTAAATAAAATACTTCTCTACAGATTAGTCATCATTGTATGATGACAGAGTTACAGCGATTTCCAGTCCTGCAAAAGCGCATGGATGAGGTTATTGGGACCTTTCTGCGAGAAGGTCTTGAACCCTCACAAGCAATGATCCGAGATATTCTTGAAATGGAGGTATGTATGAATAATATCAGATCAACATATTCGCGGATTTCATGGCGAGTCATGTTAATTTTGTGTTATATATATATATATATATATATTGTATATAACAAGGCATATACTGATTGTCATAATGGTAAAGTAAAATAAGTTTGTGCAAATTGATTACTCAGCTTGAAATTCAGTTTAAAATTTTGAAGTTAACCATTTGCAGATGGATTACATAAACACCTCACACCCAAATTTTATAGGCGGAACCATAGCCGTGGAGGTTGCAATGCAACAAGTCAAGTCTAGGATTCGGCATCCTGTTGCACGGCCAAATGTGAGAAAAAATCTCAGTAAAGCATTAATAATGCTTCCGTGTTTCGCTTTCTGACTTGTGCAAAATTTTTTGTACATAATTCTTTTGACTAAACAGGATACAATAGAGTCTGAGAGGACATCTTCCTCTGCGAGTCAAATAAAGTCTCGATCTTTTCTCGGTCGACAAGCTAATGGGATTATCAGTGATCAGGCATGACATTTTTTTTCAGTCATGTATTTAACACTGGTCTATTGGCGTCCTTTGTTGATTGAAACTATATTTATAGTCAGGCCCCGGCTCTTGAAAACGCATTAAAACATTACAAAACTCCAGCTAAAGACTTCTTATATATAACTTATTTTCATTTTACAGGGCGTTCAAGCTGCAGCAGATGCAGAAAAATCCGCATCAGCTGGTAATGTTCTTATTCCATTTATTTTTCAGCCTTTCATGTATGCATCGATAAATAAAGTTTTACTGAAAGATTAATCTCAATCTAAGATATGACTTACATACGAGTATACATGTCTGGTCTTTATTTCTTGAAGAACCCAATGTTCTGTGTAGAGTTTGAAAGTGGTGTTTTTGGACTATTGAAAAATTACTCAGGAAACACAAGCTGGAGTGGTTTCTCATCAATTTTCCGGGGAAGTGATGGTCAGGCATCTGCTAAAAACAACTTATCAAACAAACCACTCAGCGAAGCTGCTCAAGATGTGTATCAGAACTTGTCGACAATCTATTTGAAAGAGGTTTACATTACACCTCTTGTGCATACGCATGCTCCTCCTATTGCAAATACTTTTACTCTCACCTATTCACTTCATGTTTTGTTTTTTGAAGCCCCCAACTGTGTTGAGGTCATCTGAAAATCATTCAGAACAAGAGGCAGTTGAGATTGAGGTGACAAAGCTATTATTGAAATCTTACTATGACATTGTAAGGAAGAATATCGAAGACTTGGTCCCAAAAGCAATCATGCATTTTCTGGTTAGTGTCCCTCCCTCTTCTTAAAAAAATATAATTTTCACATTGTGGATAAGACTTTCTGAAGTTTTAACAAAATTTCGACTGTCTATGTTAGATGAATAACGAACGAGACTTTGAAAGTTAGTTAAATTTTGAAATGAGAAAGTATAATTTTATTTATCTCATCTTCTTCGTTTACAATAGGTGCCTCTCTTATATAGAACGAGGAATCTGGTTAACAGTAAACCGGCCTTAAACATAACCAATTAAAACTGAACCAGTACATTCTAATATTCTGATACTAGGTAGAAAAACATCTTGTGGTCATTGACGTAATTAAGTAGTGAGTGGACTGATAACAGTTCTATGTAATTGGGAATAAACACAGGTGAATTACTCGAAACGTGAGCTGCACAATATTTTCATCGAGAAGCTTTACAGGTAATATCATTAACCATATAATTTTTTTGCATAATATTGTGAATAATCTATTTTCTTTGCACTAACTGTTGTGGGATTGGGACAGGGAGAATCTGATTGAAGAACTGTTGAAAGAACCAGATGAGATAGCGGCAAAGAGGAAACGCACACGAGAGACTCTTCACATACTACAACAAGCTAATAGGGTAAAGTTTCAAGATTGGTCTTAAAGAAATTTTGCAAATTTAGCTTGATTTAAAATGTTTTCTTCCCCATTTGGTATGTTTAATAACAGACATTAGACGAGCTACCGTTGGAAGCGGAATCGGTTGAGAGAGGATACAGAATTGGTTCTGAAGCGAAACATGAGGAGTTATCGAGTACAAGAGGATCAAGGGCTCGATTCTAATGGGTACAGACGTGTCCACATGTAATTTGTTTTGAAATTTCTGATTACACACGCATAAGTCCTCAATTTATTGGTTAATGGAAAGATTTATTTTTCTTCCCTTTTAAATTCTATGGGGAGGGGGGGGGGGGGGGTATAGATTTTGGTTTCAATCTTCATTGATGTGGTTTTATAATGTTTTGAGCTTATAATTTTTTCGGTTTCACACCGATAAATGTTACCAATTTTCTATATAAAGATAATGTTTTATTTCATAATTTATCAAAGTCAATAAAATTGAATTAAAAAATTCTATTATGTAATAGTGAAGTTATATTTGACTGATCAATGTCACTGGTTTTTTATAAGAACTAAGCTTTTAATTCGCGCTACGCGCGAGTCTGTATTAATAATTTGGTTTAACTTTTTGGCTAATATCTTTCAAATTATCAAAACTATAATATATTTGTAGAAATTTTCTTTTATATAAAAAAATTAAAACATAATATGTAGTATTTCCTATTTTGTTTATAAAATTATAAATCTTATTAAGTAAAATTCTAATTCGTTTTGGTGCCAAGGATTCTGACAAGAATATTAACATCCTAATTCGTTTCAATCTTCATTGATGTGGTTTTATAATGTTTTGGGCTTATAATTTTTTTGGTTTCACAGCGATAAATGTTACCAATTTTCTATATAAAGATAATGTTTTATTTCATAATTTATCAAAGTCAATAAAATTGAATTAAAAAATTATATTATGTAATAGTGAAGTTATATTTGACTGATCAATGTCACTGGTTTTTTATAAGAACTAGGCTTTTAATTCACGCTACGCGCGAGTCTGTATTAATAATTTGGTTTAACTTTTTGGCTAATATTTTTTAAATTATCAAAACTATAATATATTTGTAGAAATTTTATTTTATATAAAAAAATTAAAACATAATATGTAGTATTTCCTATTTTGTTTATAAAATTATAAATTTTATTAAGTAAAATCATAGTAATGACACCTAACGAATTATCCAACTTCGATGTGCATATGTTTGATTTAGAAAATGATTTCCTTACTAAATTTTTGGTGTTTTGTTTTGTATCCTTAGGATTTCTATGGTTCTTTTTTTTAAAAGTTTTATATGTTTAAATATTTAGTTTCTTTACTAAATATCTCACTAATGTTGTGTACATATATATATATATATAATATATATGATATATGTTGATTCAAATATACTTTTGTTAGTAAGCTACACTAATCGTGTAAAGCTGTTTTTTGCTTCTCCACCAGATCTTTTACGAATTTTAAGTTATATCTCTATTCAGTTTATAAGATCTGTTTTATTTGCAGTCAACTATTTGCTAATATTTGTTTTTAAACATGTAAGATGATGTTGAGACTTCACATTATCACTGTATTTTTTTATCTTTTGTGTGTTTATTCATGTTTTTTATTTGAATATTTTATCTTCATATATTCCCATTTGAATTTGATTCATAACTTTGTCATATTATATTATTTAAATAAAATTTTAGAGGATGTTGCTCATGTGTTGTTCATGTTGACTAAGTTATAAGCAGTAAATATGTATACAAATCAGACTTTGTTACTTATTATATTTTGAATGTAAAGTTACTTGTGTAGTATTTTACTTTGTTAATTTTTCAACTAGACGCAACCACGGTATTAATTTTTATAAATTTAAATAATATGTTGATTTAGAAACTTGTATAACCTATTAAAACTTTATATGGTTATTCATAGTCAGCACCAATATTTTAGAAATCATGAATGTTTTTGGAACTATATTTCAAATTAATTTTCTTCTTAGATCTTGTTTTTGTTATTTTAAATATCTTCAATTGTAATTTTATATTTTATTTTAATTATCTAATTTTCTACAGGTTTGATATACTTAAAACATTTTAATTAATCTCTTTTGTTATTGATTTTTCAAATAGGTAGCATAAATATTAATCTAATATCTTTTACATAAACTAGGTATATAACTCGCGCTACGCGCGAGTCTGTATTAATATTTTGGTTTAATTTTTTTTAGCTATTATCTTTAAAATTATTAAAAATATAATATATTTATAGAAATTTTCATTTATATAAGAGAATTTAATATATATTGTGTAATTTATCCTATTTTTATTTATAAATTTTAAAAAACTATTAGGTAAAATAATAACAATGACACATATCCAGTTATCCAACTTGACGTAAATATTCATTTGATTTAGAGAAATATAATCTTGTTAAGATTTTGGTATTATTTTCTGTTTTCCATAGAATTTCTATAGTTCTTTTTTTCTTGAACGTTTATGTGTTCAAATATTTAGTTTTTTATTGAAAGTATTATTGATGTTGTGTACCACTGCATGTATAATCAATGATTCATGTTGATTTGCATTTAATTTTGTTAGGAAGCTGTAATGATCATGCAAAACCATTTTTTCCTTCTCCATCATGTCTTCCAAGAGTTTTATGTTATATTTTTATTTATTTTTCATTGTTTTAATTGTTAAATCAAGTTATTGTAGAATTTTTTAAATTGATAATTGATAATGGTTACTTTTTTTATACATGTATTGTTAATTGTTAATTTTTTTATGTAACTTTAAAATTTTTAAACCATATTAATATTTTCTGATATAATAAATATGTTGATTTGGATCAATCAAATTGAATTTACTTTTTTGTTGGACATAATTTGTTAAATTAAATTTTAATGTTTTAATTTTACTTAATATTTTTTAGTTTGATTTAATAGCTGATGTGGATCAATTAAATCAAGTTTTTCTGTCCTAATCATATTTAACATTTTTTGTTTAATGAATATGCTGATGTGGACCAATCAGATTGAGTTTTTAATTCCATGTGGACGCCCTCAATACACTATGCCATCAACTTTTATATATTACTAGGCTTTTAACTCGCGCTGCGCGCGAGTCTGTATTAATAATTTGGTTTAATATTTTGGCTAATATCTTTTAAATTATCAAAACTATAATATATTTATAGAAATTTTCTTTTATATACAAAATTAAAACATAATATGTAGTATTTCCTATTTTGTTTATAAAATTATTAATCTTATAAAGTAAAATCATAGTAATGACACCTAACGAATTATCCAACTTCGATGTGCATATGTTTGATTTAGAAAATGATTTCCTTACTAAATTTTTGGTGTTTTGTTTTGTATCCTTAGGGTTTCTATGGTTCTTTTTTTTAAAAGGTTTATATGTTTAAATATTTAGTTTTTTTACTAAATGTTTCACAAATGTTGTGTACATATACATATATAATATATGATATATGTTGATTCAGATTTACTTTTGTTAGTAAGCTACACTAATCGTGTAAAGCTGCTTTTTGCTTCTCCACCAGATCTTCTACGAATTTTAGATTATGTCTCTATTCAGTTTATAAGATCTGTTTTATTTGCAGTCAACTATTTACTAATATTTGTTTTTAAACATGTAAGATGATGTTGAGACTTCACATTATCACTGTTTTTTTTTTTTATCTTTTGTGTGTTTATTCATGTTTTGATTTGAATATTTTATTTTCATATATTCCCATTTGAATTTGATTTATAACTTTGTTATATTATATTATTTAATAAAATTTTAGAGGATGTTGCTCATGTGTTGTTCATGTTGACTGAGTTATAAACAGTAAATATGTATACAAATCAGACTTTATTTCTTATTATATTTTGAATGTAAAGTTACTTGTGTAGTATTTTACTTTGTTAATTTTTCAATCAGACGCAACCAAGGTATTAATCTTTTGTAAATTTAAATAATATTTTTGATTTAGAAACTTGTATAACCTATTAAAACTTTATATGGTTATTCATAGTCAACACCAATATTTTAGAAATCATGAATGTTTTTGGAACTATATTTCAAAGTAATTTTCTTCTTAGATCTTGTTTTTTGTTATTTTAAATATCTTCGATGGTAATTTTATATTTTATTTAAATTATATAATTTTCTGCAGGTTTAATATACTTAAAACATATATATTTTTAATTAATCTCTTTTGTTATTGATTTTTCAAATAGGTAGCATATATATTAATCTAATATCTATAACTGGTTATTCTAAATTTTAAGTGAAGTTCTCTCAAAAGCTTATACCATCAGTTGCTTTTTTTAGTTAATATTTGTTTGGTAGTTAGCCTAAATATCAAGCTAATTTTACTTTATACGACTTTTTTCTTTGATAATTTACCTCTCTTGATATTGATTTTTATTTTATTTTAACACGCCATTGTTTTTAAAATATTGATATTTTGAAGACATAACTTTTTTGTTAGTTAAATATTTTAATATTAATTTTTTAAGTAGTTAGTTAGTTATCAAGTCAATATATTTTTAAGTGTTTTTAATAATATTTTGTAAAACTTAATTTTCATTTTAGTTTTTTGTTAATTAATTTCTTAATATTGATTTCTTAAATAATTAGCTTAAATATTTATATTATTTTTGTTAGTTAAATTTTTTAGTATTATTTAAGTTTTTGTATTCTTTTACTTATTCTGTTGATATTTATTTTGTTAAATAAATAACATAGATATTAAGTTAATATCTTCTTTTTGTTAATTTAACTTTCTCGATATGAACTTTCATTTTAATTGTATTGACATGTTGTAAGAAATAATTTATGTTTTGGTGTTTGTTAGTTAAACATTTTTTATATTGATTTCTTCAGTAATTAGCATAAAGTATCATTTTTGGTTTGTTAAGATTTTAGCGTTAATTTGTTTAAATATTTCCCCAAAAAATATAAGTTTTAGATGACTTTCTTTTTTGATAATTTAAGATGATTATTTTTTTGGTAGTATTGATACTTTAAATAACAATTTTATAAAATTATATGAAATTTAATCTTAATATTTCTTTTCTAAATAAATTACTCGTTTAAAATATATATGCTAAATTATTTTTTAATTTAAATTTTTCGTTATTGATTTACATATTTGTTTTTGTTAGTTTAGTTTTTGTGACAATGTGTTTCCATTTTATTTTCACAATAGATTTAGACTTTTGACATTAATTTATTTTATTTAGTTAAAAAATTATCTTAATTTTCTATTCTATTGTAATAATTTTATATTTTTGTATGGCT